GCTTCTCTGCTTAGGAAACCCTGTCATAGTCACAAACCCATGTTACACGGCATTCCGACACCCAAAAACACCTCACAGCTACGATGAGACAATAAACCACTGAGAGGTCGGGATCAGATAGAATAACCAACTACTTCAATCCGAAGCAACAGTGGATACGTAGTGAGATGGCCCATTTCGGGCTAGATTTCGTCAAGAAGCTTTGGAGCTCAGTTAAAATCTCGTCACAAGCACAACTGAGTTGAGCTAAGCAACCGGGTATAACGAAGTAGCCCACTGGCACTGCGCTATGCAACCCAATTCGAACTTTGATGGAAAAAAAACAGAACCACTATTGAAGTAGCCATTTAGAAACTTACAACTTGCTGATTCTACTAACCTCGAACTCTTCCAAAACAACCTTTACAATGGCTTAGAATCAAACCTTAGCCCTAGCAATTCACCAGTGTTACGGGCCAGCCCAAGAGTTCAGCAGCCAGCAAATCATAGATTTTTTCGATATAATGAAATAAACGAGAACCCGTGAATTCCTTCATATAGAGATAATACTCTCTATAGCACTGACAGGGCGCGTGTGGGGCAGTGGTTGGAGGCGCCACTGTGACACACACGTGGAATCAATCCCCGCGCCCATAGTCCACCAAACCTTCCATCCTTCCGGGATCGGTAAATTGGTAGCAGACTTGTCTGGAAGGATAGCAGCACTGGCTCGCTACATCGGTAGGCCACCGTGAGTCATTGTAAAGGCCAGAGATATGCATCCAATCACCTCCAACGGCTCTTAATGAAGTCGAATGCATGGCTCATCTCTCAGGGATTGATCAACGCCGAAAGCTTTTTACCTTTTATAGCACCGACGAATTGATTCTGAGTGTCTTCGGATGATATTCAACAGCTTTCAGTTTGCTGGTATTGCCGTGGGTGAGGTGGAGAGTGTTCAATGAGAAGTGAATGGTCACCAAGCAGTAGAAGTAATAAAAAGTAGAAATGAATGCCTGAGAGCTAGCAGCAAAAGGTAGGTGCCATGGATAGCTTGGAATTGTTCATTCAATTAAAATTTCTGTACAATTAAGCGTTCTCATTCCTTCCGTTCCCTATCATTTTGCCGAAATTGTAGAGAAAAAAGGTTTCGAAAAAGACAAAAACTTCAATAAAAACATTGTGAATTGAATGAAGGGGTGATTAAGTTGGTCGCTAATATATGAATTTAGGCTTGGGTTAACAGCACTACGTTGTTTGACGCCGGATCATATGTCTTGACGTGGTTTCAGTTCCTTCATAATCCAGTGCTCGTTGACGGACGTCAGCAACAAGAAACTGGATAATAAACATACTATAACGAATATTCCAATAAACAGATTGACACCGAGAGCAGTTGCTTCCAGAACAGACGCCAGATTTTGCCAGACTTCTGGCGATGGATTGTCGGCTTCTCATCGGTCTTTGTAATTGGTAATCTAGCAACATCGTTTTCTTTATAAATCAAATCGGAAACAAGTAGCACAAAAATTTCTTCCAAGAAAAGAACGCAAATAAATTGACGATCCCACTGCATATACTATGTGGTTGAAATAATAGTATCCTCAGCGGTAGTGGCTGCAGTTTTCTTCTCAACTTGGCTGAGACATTGTGATGAATGGTCTGGGTGCCATGTGTCTTTGACGAACAACCGATGTGACAACTTATTTCGACCTTCTACCACTATCAATGAAAAACACACATTGCTCAGATGTAGAAATCGAAGAATGCCCAGACATTTAAAACGCCTGAGGAGCTATGAGATTTGAGAAGTAAACCGAGTTTCTTTGATCCGTCTCGAGGAATCAAACGTTGGGTTAACTTGGCGTAGATGCCTACAGCAGCGGCATGATGCTCGCCTACTAAAGCTTTTAGTTACTTTCACTGAATTCTTCCTTCCACTAAGGTCTCTCTGCTTCGACTTCCACGCAGGAATTCTCGCTTTCCGCTGAATTAAATCGGGATTTAAAGTGTATAAATACATTTCCAGTTCTTTTTGAACGGATAAGAGGCTGCAATATCGAGAGATATTTCTTATGAACAAATATTAACGAAATTATCTCTACGTACGATTTTTTAATAGATGTTCTGATCCTGTAAAATCCTGTCCTCTTCAGTGTCCCGACAAAGCTAACCCGAATTTTCTATGATCACAGTGAGCGGACAGGTTATAAGCTCTCAGCTCGTCTTCGACTTGTCAAAAATGCGTCTTTACACGCCTGGTGCTCCGCAATTGCTTTTAAAAGCCCTAAGGGCACAGTTGTCGACAAAATACGAGGATGGCCATGTGACACCCATCTACGCTCGAAGGCATTCCTCAGTGGTACAAATCTGTTGCAAAAATTCAGTACCCAGCTGACTACAACTTTTTCCTACACGATCGAGCCTTTGATGAAGCGTGAGTTCTTGAAGTATTCATTAATAGTTGTTGTAATGTTGATTAATCGATGTTAGGTGACTTTTGCACCTGAAGCTTTTCCATTTCTACATGAAAACGAGCTTCAATTATCGTTAGATTACCAGTACTTGGTGTAGATGAACTGGATAGGATTCTACAAAAAATAGGAAACGAATTGAGCACTAACGGTAATTCGAATATCAGTATCTCAATGACGCCGTTAGCATCCGCAATACTCAGCTATGATTTTGGTTTGCCTGACACAAATGCTGGGTACGAAGTAGTGCAAGTTGTTGGACCAGAGCGAAAAACTCCTGTGTGCCTCAGAGACGTCGAAGAGAGGTTCATAATAACATGGAGACTTAGAAAATTAAGAGCGCAATTAATGGAACTGTTCAAAGACTACTGACTCGTTTTGTTTCCATAAGACTGAAACCTGGCATTCATCCTGACCTCTATGCATCTCATGATCTCCTCATTTTCCGAGGTGAATCTCATCCGGTTTCTGCGTTGTTCCCATAAGCATAGGAGTACATAGACGATAGAAGGGAAATGCTTTATACTCAGCGCCTTTACATTTCAATTATATTCATCGGATTCATTTGTAACAGCTTTCGTTTAAATAGCCAGTGGTTACACATATTGTGCGGATGATATCACTTCTTCAGTCCAACTCGTTTCTTCGCCATCGTCTACGAAATCGTTGCTTGAACTTTTTTGGTCTTTTCAGTGAAGTTCGGTGAGCACAGGTAGAATGTATACTATTTGTTTGAAAGCCAAACTTAGAACAGCTGGGCTAAGGGGTCGCAAAAAAAATCGCAAACGAAATGTTTTTCAACGAAGACTGCATAGCCAACGATAAGTCAACGTCGGGACGTACATCTTAGTTTCAGGACCGAAAATCATAAGACTTAAAACTTTCAACGTAGGTCGAAATTTTGAAGAAATTCAAGGAATGGTTGATTGAAATCGTAAAGTGTGTTGTTGTGGTTCCCGTGAAAAGGCATTCAAAAAGCGTTTCTCCCTGTCGTAGCCACACGTTATTCAGCTTTCCATAACACTGAATTAATGTTTAAATGTCCGTTCTGCTTTGAGACAAAGCAGTAAGAAAGGTGCCAGGAGAACTGTCATATGAAAAATACCTTAACAGAGCTTCTTACGAGCTCTTTCTTAGCAAACGCTCAGTCGTCATCATATTCTTTCTTGCCAGTAATCCCAATGTCTCTAATGTAAAATCCAGCGATAGGAGTGTATACCTAGGTGACTATTAACCATGCCGACAATGGTTTGCACAGGCGACGTAGCTCCAATCCAGATCCACTGTCGGTTCACTGAAGTGACGTAGCTGTCGAAAATTCGCTGATAGCTTTCCAAACCTTTATCCCATGATGCGAATATCTGGCCTAAAAACGTGGTATAGGAGCCTCATTGTCGTGTTTAAGGAGTTTCATAGGGACAAAGTATTTTCTTGGTGTAAATATGCAAGTTTGCAATCAATACTCGTATTTCGACCAAAGCTTCAACCCCTCAACCATTTCCACTTTAGTTTCATTCAAGCCAATCATTGCTCCCGCGAGACAATTTTTTTACAATGCTAATAAATTCTAATAAAACCGGTAATAAATAGTTGGCCTCTGTAGCGCGAACAAAATCGAGATGCTTCTTTCTTCACTTTCATCCTCCAATTGATAGAGTTCGTCCTCATCTACTAAGGTAGCCATAATTTCAGAATATTCCCAACGAGAGATATTTTTTTGCCCATCCACCTGCATTCGTTGAGAATTCCTACTTCGTGGTACGACAACCTTTTAACGTATGCTGCCACTCTGATTACGATGATTCTGCACAGTGTTCTGCTCCTGCTTCCTTAAATAGACTACTTCGGTCATTATTTCAGTTCCAAAACGGTGGTGGGATTCCGGTCTGTGGAAATCTAATTAGAAGGAAATTAAATCAAAGAAACTTTAAGATTATCACGGTAACCACTGTGGAACTTGAACACAAGTTCAGCTGATGTCCAACTGCTTCAGAACAATTTTCAGATGTCTCTGGACTACCCGTCGCCATCATTAGTTCTTCAGTGGTATGGGCCTGTTCCAAGAGAACCGGTAAACAACAGATTTGTTCAGTGTAATCGAGAAATTGAAAAGGCGTGAGTTGATCCATTACAAAGTAGTGGTTTTTACAATGCTAATCAATTCTAATAAGACCGGTTAATTAAGGCTGAATGGTTTTGGAAGATATTCGACGCCTTCTATTCTGCCACTACCTATATTGGATGAGTTGGAGCAATTTATACAAGAAACAGAAAATTCACCGAGCAGAGCCAGAACGAATAAACTGAAAAGCAAGCTTAAAATCTCAGGAACGAAAGATAAGGGCTTTTAGTTACATCATGGGAAAGGTCGTTTTAGAAAGGTAAGTCTTCGGAAACCGGTTTTATATTGATAATGAGTGATTTTTGTTGCTCTCGGAAAAAAATCGACATATATGCATAACCCATATCAGTGAAAGTGTTCTGGTCGGATGTTTAAATCCCTCTTTTTTTCACTTATTCGACTAAACCTCAGTGGCTTTCCACAGTTTAGCGCTTGCACACCGATATTGCCTTGCTCGATACTCCAGTATCGCACAGTGGCGGTAGCAACCCATTCACAGATAGCAACGTGCGGAATAATGTCGCTTGTTGAACAATCAAATAATCCAGTGCTTTCTCGTTGATGTACTCGAACTCCTCCAATGTGTACGAGATTGGAATTGAACTGCTGTCCATTGCCCCAACACTTATTCTGAGCATCACTTTGTTCTAGATGTCTCAATTTGACCTGAGCGCATTGCCACGTCTCCAGTTATTATTTGCTTTATTATCGAAATTGGCTCAGAGAAAAAAAAGCAAAGGCCTCGGTGGTTTAGTGAGCCTTCGGAAAGGATAATCACGTTTTCAAAGTTCGCCCAGCGTTTCTAGTTTTGCTCACATCTCAGCATCATTGTGGTTCAACTTAACGTAACACACTTCCATGAATAAATACGAAGCAGAAAATAAAAGTTAAACACTAATGTATTGTTATCGGCACATATCCTGCTCATATTCTTATTGTTCAACGCTTCTGCTACCACCTGTATCACCTGTCACACCGAGTTGGTTAACTGGTAATGTGGCGAGCAGCTAACTGTTATTTCATTTTAAGCGTTACTGCAAATCATCGTTATTGTGTGGAGTGCGTGGGTGTGGAAAATACCTAAATACACACACAAATTGGAAGACAGTAGAAGTGTTGCGAGTGTTTGTATGATAGGCCACATTAACAATAGTATGTAATAGCACGCTACCAATAGCACAAGAATGGATAACTAGTGTTAAGGCTACCAGGAAACCTAATTTCATGGAACCTGAAATTCAGACATCTTGTTAAAGGTGTGTAGAGGTGAAGTAGTGCTGTCATAATTAAGATATCCATTCTACTGCTAGAATAGCTAGCGCAACGCGTAATAATACTATTTTAAAACCGACTATCCTGTAACCTCGGCATGAGAAATCAACATGTGTTCTTTCATTAATAAGCTTACACGATGTTGATAAGCAGCTTTATTCAGTTAACATCTCTACGTATTCATCTTCATGACAGCCGATGATCCGAGTCGATGGTCCACTGTCGTTTGTCTTCTCGATGTGGTGTCTTCATCTTTGCATCGAGTTGCGACCACGCTCTTTTATAGAAGAAGTTGGTACATTTCGACAAGGCGCCACATCGAGGAGACAAACAAATGCGGACCATCTACTCGGATCGCCGGTTTTGAGAAAGGCGAAGATGTGGAAACGTTAGCCGAATAGAAGCTGTGTGGCAACCTCGCGTAGAGTGAACAATCTTAAAAAATTTACTGATTATTCACGCCGAGGTAAAGTGAAAGCCGATTTAGTACGGTGTTTACAAAAGTATTTTCACGTACGATTTTCTAATAAACCTTCTTCTCAGGTTAAGGAAGTGTCATGTCATTGCCGACTTGTTAAGGACGAGGCTGATCAACCTAAATCTCTGTTTAAAAGGCGTAAGAACCCAAATGCCAGCAGAATACGTGATTGGCGACGGAACACCTACCTCGTACATGGGTAATTCCTCAACGGTGCAGATCTGCTAAAACCGTTCAGTACCCGCCTGAGGACAGCTTTTCTCTAATATTATGGAGCTGTAGATAAAACATGACTTCGTGGAATAATCATTAATAATTGTAATTAAGACTTTCTCGTTTCTGCATGAAAAAAAGACACCAAACAATTTCGAATTACCAGTACTTCCTTAGGATTACGTGGAGAGAAGTGTATAAGAAATAAAAGAAGTACCGAATAATAGCAGTAATTCGAACGTCACCGGCTCAATAATACCGTTGGATCTCGCAGTACAGAACTATGATGAAGGCTAACCAGAGACAAATGGTCCATTCAGAATGGTACAAGTTGCTGGATGTGAACAGAAAAGTCCTGCAAACCCTAGAGTCATCAAAAAAGAGCGGTCTGGTTCAAAATTACCCGGAAACGGTCCAACTCAAAGGTGTGAATGATAAACAACTGCTCAAAGAATATATGGACTGGCTGTATTTGAGTAACGATGAAATTCGATGGGTTTTCATTTCTTAAGAACGTCTATCCTGACATCCATGCACTGAAGAGCTCTTCATTCTTCTAGGTACCAACTCGTGCGATGTTTGCTGGACCATTGCTAGCGTATCTTATTATTGTTATCTAATGTTTGACTTCAGAATAAAATGTCGTCTTAATCAGATTTCCGCACATTACGGTGTCTTTCACTTTTCATAAGCAGCAGTGGATGTGATCGACAGAAAATTAAACAAGGATACGCGGCCTTCCGGCATTCCACTTCGCTTGAATTCATTTAAACACATTCGTCCATGAAAGTTAAGGCAGATAAACACTTACTTCTTCACTGATCTTTCTAGCTGATAGAGGAAAATCAATGTTCTTTTTTACTGATTGCCGAAACAAAACTTGTCTAAAATAGACGTAGTAATTGTCTTCAGAAGCTACTTGTCCTTTTTTCACATAAGCAGTTTCGGTCGTGGAACGATCAGACGTAGCAATAATGTGGAACACTATACACTGATAAGCAAATATACTGTAATGGTTTGCAACGTAGCCAAATTAAGCATTTCTTCTTAGATCCTAGGGGTTTTAGTTTCTCTAGTGATCGCGTTGTATCGTAACCTATCTTCGTCATCATTCCCCCTTCCACCTGTATCACCTGTAGTCCCGTTGATCGTCGAGTGACTCGAGCGGGCGCCAGTAAATCTTCCATATTTCCCCATCTCGTGCAAGAGTAGCCCAGTGGGTTCTGCTAGCTCTAGGGACTCGTCGAGCATCATATCTCTCCTCAAAGCTCTTTGTGAAGAACTCTGACCATCGCGTCGGTGGTTTTCCTGCACTACGTTTGACATCCCGAGGAATCCAGTCACTAACGGCTCTCGTACACCGGTTGTCATTCATACGCATTACGTATCCGGCCCACCTTATCTTCGACTGTCTAGCGTACAGAACGGCATCCTTGATTTTTAATCGTTGACGCAGATCGGAGCTTCCGATTCCCCATATCTTGCTTGTATGAAACGGGATACTCCTAGCATCGTTCTTTCGACTACGCCTTCGCCCTGCTTGCTCACATGGCTGTCCTTCGTCTAGTGTTCTTTCAATCCTATTTAGGATAACTCGAGTGAAAAGTTTGTAGACGACAGACAGAATCAGATAGGGCGGTAGTTGCCAATATCGCGTAGGTCACCCTTCTTGAACAATAACAGGGTCTTGCTCGCCTTCTACTGAGTAGGAACTTTGCATTCAGACGGGTAACGTGTGAAGAGCAGAGCCAATGTGTTTACGAGTGCTCGTGTAAGGTTCTTCAGGTGCTATGGTCTTATCCTGTCCGGACCTGGTGCTGTTCGATTTTCCACCGACGAAATGACGTGTCGGATTTCGGATGGGAGAACCGGTGGTACAACATATCCATTCTTCTTTATTTCATATAAAGGAAGGTAGACGTGGCTATCGAAGAGATCTGAGTAGTATTCGTGAATGATTTTCTTCATTGCCTTTCTTGACGCTGTAACTGCTTCGTCTGGGCGTCGGAGTGCAATCATCTTGGCCACGTAATTGGCAAGGTATCGGTAGAGTTTGTCTTTTCCCAGCATCTGCAACTTCGACCATAACTGTTGCTCTTCTCTCATTTAAATTTTCGTTTATCGCCTGTCTGCATTGTCTTGCAAGTTCGGACGTTAGTTCGCGGCTGCCTGCAACTCGTTCAATTCCACGCTGGCGTATCAGCACGAGTGTTTCTGGAGACAAACGTCTCTTGGTGACTTTCGAACTCTCAGTTTTCATAGCGCTAACGTGAAGATGTTGAATGAGCCGATCGTATTCTTCGTCGATGTTATCGAAGACAGCATCTTCCCAAGAGCCGACTAATGAATTGAATAACTCATAGTTTGCGATGGTTCTGGGACTCCGGTTTTGGAATTTACCGGCTTTTTATCTTTTTCGCGAAAAATAGAATCTTGCACGAAGGAGACGGTGTTCTGATCCCGTGTAGAATTTTCGGACAACAGCGACATCGCTAAGGCAAAACCTATTTACTATGATGTGGTCTACTTCGTTATGGTAATCTCCATTGGGAGATTCCCACGTCCAGCGTTGACGGTGGGGCTTCTGGAATTGCGAGTTACCATGGATTGCCTTGGTCACCATAATGAACTCAGACAGCCTCTCACCATGTTCGTTCCATTCTAATCCTTGGGTAATCCATTCTAATCCCAATGTGACGTTCTTCAGACGTTTTTCTTGGTCCAGTCTTAACGTTGAAATCTCCAATGATAACCTTGAAGAATGTTTGATCTTCTCTGTAGAACTTCTCCAAGTCCATATAGAACGCTTCGACTTCTTCTTCGTCACAGTTCGGTGTCGGCGCGTATACGAGGTAGATTGTTAAAGTCTGTATTGATCCACGTGTTTTTAATCGTAAACGTCCGATTCGGGTTGTAAGTTGTTCGAATGAATCGATGTTCATGGACAAACTCGTGTTGACGAGAACGCCGACGCCGCCGATTCCTCTACTTTCGCATGTTCCGTGGAACAGTTCTTCTCCGGTGTCATAGACGGCGTTGAAAGGCGTTGAAAGGCCTTCTCGTCTCGGCCAAGCAGATGACGTCATACTTTATCCTTTTTGCTTGCATGAGCAAGTTTTCTATCGAGGATTTGGATGCAAGTGTACGTGCATTGTAGGTACAGGTCGTCATCATAGTTCTTTGAAAGCGACGCAGATTCCATTGGTCCTGAGATTTTAGCAGCTTCTCCATTCTCGTCCTACCCAACGCTGAGAAATTGTTGGCTCTATCGGGGTCAGGGGAATGAGGCCCGTTTTTTTTTTTACTGTGTTCGGCATTTTTGATACCCACGTATATCTTGCTGGGGTCTGAACATTGGGGCTGGGTATACTCACGGGTAGCTTGCCCGGCTCTCCCAGAGTGGTCATGGAGCTCATTTGTTGGAGGCGACTCAAAACCATCTTCCATATACTTCGCAGTCGTTTGATTGCAGGCGTTTGGCCGAATTGACGCGTAGAATAGAATCCACATGAGCAAGAACGCACCCACACACTCATGCATGAATACGCCTAGCAAATACAGAGAGTATGTGCCAAATGGGCGCAGGAGAAACAGGGAGTTATCCTCTGGATCCACCTGCGTCTCAGGGAAGCAAAGGTCGCTTTTGGTCCGCGATTAACCTCCTATTCGCCACCT